CCCACATCCTTGCTGCAGGCCCGGGGTTGGGGGGTGGGCAGGACGGGGGCTCCTGGATCAGAGAGGAGGGAGGGGAGAAGGCAAGGAGAGAGTGGTGGGCAAGGATGGTGGGCGAAGGACAAGGCCCCCATTCGGTAGATGCTGCAGGGGTGCTGTTGCTGGGTCCCCGCTGTCCCCACTTTGCCCTCTGCTGGGAAAGGGCTTCACCCCCTTGGGCAGGGTTTTGGCCTTACTTCACGTGTGCCTTGAGTGTTTGGTGGGAACTTGGGAGGAAAAGGAAAACTAGACTTTCCCAAGCACAGGTTGGGCAGACTCACGTTTCAATGGAAGCAGTAACATCTGTTTTTCTCTCATGTGGACACCTGGAGAAGGTGATTGTCCGTCCAGCTGGGGTTGCAGCCGCGCTGGGCGGGCTGGCGAAATGGTTTCTTGGTACACGAGCTGGTCCTCCGGGACGTTTCTGAGACTAGAAGTGACGGTGCACAGGGACGTCTCACCCTGTCCCACTGCCGGTCCTGGCAGAGCTTGCAGGCAGGACCCTGCAGTGCTTCCGTGCTCCTCCTGCCTCCTCCTGGCTTCCTCCCTCCTGGAACACCCTGGGTCTCAGTGCTGGGTGCTGTAGGGTGGCGGGCAGAGAGGGCACCTGGTGAGGGTCTACAAAGTCAGAGCCTCGGCTGACCCTGTCACTGGGGACCGTACTGGTCACACCCGGAGTATGGCCTGCAAATGTCCCAGAACTTTGCAGGTGTGTGGGGGAACCCGAGCTGGATCTGTGGGGGCCCTCCTGTACCCCCGGGTGCCCCGCGCTCACGCCGGTTTCTCCCGCAGGTGACACGGGCTCTGACGTGCCGCTGACAGGACGCACGTCCCCGCGCGAGGTACCGCCCGCCACCGAGAAGTCCCAGCGCCCGCTCGCTCCGCCCCCGGCCCCGCCCACCGCGCACAACCCGGCCCCCGCAGCTCTTCCGGACCTCGAGCTGGGGGCGGGGCCGACATCGGAGGCGGGGTCTGCGTCGGGGGCGTGGCTGGAACGCCGTGGACTGCCGGGCGCACACGCGCGGTCGGCGGCGGCGCGTCGTGTGCACAGCCGGCGCTCGTTCCAGCGGCCCCGCGCGCGCCGCCGCCCCGCACTGCTCAAGCTTGCGTCGCTGCAGCCCTCGTGCCACGCGCCACCGCACGGGCTGGAGCAGGAGGAGACGCCGCTGTGATCTCCACGACTGCCACGGTGCCCCCTGCCGTGGCCTGGGGCAGCCTTAGGCCCCCCCCCCTCCCACCCTGCCCCGCAGAGTCTGGGTGGGATCGCCAGCGGGGGTCCAAATACCTGCAAGGTCTGAACCTTGAAATTCCTTGGCGCCATCTGGAAAGGAGACCCTGGGGGGCAGGAGGTGGACAGTGGCCGAGCCTCCAGCTTCTGGGAGGTCTTGGCAGGTGCCCTTGTAAGGCCGCCTCGTGGATCCTTCTGTACACCTGACCTGGTTTTGATCTGAGCTGGCACTTTTTACTATTCCCATTGTCACTCCTGACTCAGGGACTGGAAGGGCCCTGGGACCACAGAGCCCAGGCTCCGTGTTTGAGTTCTTGCACTCTGTCCATTCTCTCATCAACACTGCCAGGGAAACCGAGACAAGCAAAATAATATCTGCCCACAATACCAACTTGATTCCAGTCCCAGGCTGGCCACTCTCAGGGCCCTAGGTCAGAAGCCCTGACTCAGGAACAATTCACAGGCCGAGGGGTTGGGGCCGTGGTTGCCCGAGGCCCTGTGTGAGATCATGTCCACTTACCAGCTCTGTGAACCACCTGTCTCCTTATGGACTGGGTACAATTGCAGAAACATCTGTTTGTTCATTCTTTTTGTGTGGAGACTCCCAGAGCCTGGCACTTGTCCTACCTGGATTTCAGTGTGGCAGCCTCTGGGTACCAGGTGTCCTGTGCCCGAACACCTGCTCTCTGGCTTGAGTTGTCCCACTTGACACTGGCAGATGGCCCAGGCTGGGTTAGAGGTTGCACTGGCCCCATGGGTGCACCCACACAGCCCCAGCTAAGTCGAGTGGGGCCTTCATTAGCAAGCAACTTTTGTTCAGACTTAGAGCCTGTCCTTAAGTGGACCTGGGCCAGGTGGTTGGTCTGACCCCACCTAACACAACAGAGGGAAGCTGGTGGAAGCACTGCCCTTGAGAGCTGCTGTTTCACGGGAGAGCTAAGGGGGCTTGGAGAGGGGCTCAGACCCCTGGCCCTGGGGCTGTTGTAGACCTCCTGCCACTCCCTCTGAGGTTTCAGGGACGGTGGCCTTAGAGCTCCTCCTGCAACCTCCCACCCAGCCAGGCCTCTGGAAGGAAACCACTATCTGACTGTCCTAGGGGGAGCAGGGAGCCAGGCAAGGGGCCACTGAGTTGGCCCTCATTGGCCCACCCATTCCTCAGAGGTAGGTTTTTGTGTGAAGACAAGGTAGTGAAGGATTAAAGGGATAATGGACTTCAAGACACTCCTAGAGGCTTTTCTAAAGAAGCCAGGCTCAGCTCTGCTCAGGAAAGACTTCATGCAGTGCTCACGCCATCACAGGCCAGGATTACTAGCAGTCTGTAGTGTTTTCATGGTGCACATTGAGTCTCTGATGGGAAAATCTCTACCAGTTGCTGTTGAGAAAAATGAGGGACAGCAAAAGGAACATTTAGTGTGATGTTTGTTCACCAATACAGAGAAGGCTCTTTATCCTAAAGGGAGTGGGGCTGCTCATTATTTGAACTGAATCATTAGCTTAGCCATCACAGATAAAGAAGTGTCGGTTGGTTTTCAGTAGATGTTTTCCCACACTTTGCAACCATTTTAATAAACTCTAAAGAGCACAAAACCCAGCCATGATCTGTACAAAACCTGCCCGTGATCCCAGACCAGCAGGCCCTGAGCCACGGCCACCAACAGCAACTTTAGGAAGGCAATGCTCTGACCATTCCCTGCAGGAGTGGTTCATCCAGAGCAGGCTGGGTCCACAGCCCAGTCAGTCGGGCACTCCAGCTGCCTTAACAACTCCCTGGGACCACGGGACCCAGATCCAATTTCCAGCTGCAGGGCTAGAGGCCGAGTCAGGTAAAGCAGTTCAAGGGCAGTTCCTGGGACCCACTCAACTGCCAGATGGTGAATCCATTTGACATCTATCTCCTGGACAAACCCCTTCAGCCCTGTGTTTTTGGGGGAGGAGGGGGTAGGCAGATTTTCTGTTAGTTGAACAGCACAGTCTAATAAACACAGCCAGACATGAAGTTCCAGACATGAAGCCTCACAGAACCCCAAAACCCACATTTCAGTGATCGAGAGACACCTCCATCTGTTAACACAGTGTTATAAACCCTAGTACTGTGGATACATTTCATAAATGAGAATCCTAGCTGTTCTTGTCACTGTAAAACAGAATGTAAACAATGTCTTATGAATGTATTTCCTTAGGAAAACTGTTGTAAAATTTTTTATTAGGAAAGAATTTCTATTTATTTAATATTGAACTTTGGCCTACTTTGTGGTAGGCTATAAAGCTCACAAATTTAGGAGTCACTACTTCTCACTTCTGTATCTTGAAAATAATTTTGTCACAATGCTCGCCTACTGCATACCATTGATCTATTATGAATTTTTAAAGCAAGAATTTCATTGAAATTGGAATTGAAATGTGTAAGTTATGAGTGGTGAAATTGTGAATTTAATTTTGTGAAAATGATCTTAGTCAAACTTTGTGTAACCCTAATCACAATCGATGTGCCTTACAGTGGCCCTCAATGTGCTGTTGACAGTGTCTGCGCAGGGGGACCATCATAGAACCTGCCACAACTGATTGATCAAATCTATTAAAAAGATTTCAAGGCATTTTTTTGGTGCAAATGTTATCAATGAGAAATCACATCAAAGAGAACATAAGGAGCAGCTCCTGAAGGCAGACATTGCTCTGGCACTGGAGTTAACGTTGACCTGTGTGCACATAAGAGAGGGAGGGAGAGAGGGCACTTCTGGCTGGTACCAGCATTGGACACACCGCTGTGGGCACAGCCTGGGCCCTGGAAACTGGTTTTTCCCCAGGAGAGACAGGTGAACACTACTACTCACACCCTTAGACTCGTCACAGCACAGAGAGGACAGGCCCAGGAAGGATGGGAGCAGTACCCATCCAGCCTAAGTGGGAGAATGAAGCACCTGAAACATCAAGTAGGGAGGGGAGGAGCCTGGGGCTAAAACCAGAGCTAGCCTTGAGAAAAAGACCCGAGTTAACTCATGACTGGTTAGCGACATGTCAATTCTACTTCAGTTTTGATTCTTTCAAGAAAAAGTCCTATTTGTGAATTTTTCATGTCTCGTGAGGGTGAAAGCGCAATATAAACTTTGCCATCCGGAACATGTCTTAGGAGGAAACCAGCCTGTCGGGACACACTCAGAGGTTCCGAGCAGCCCGACACTGTGCACAAGCAGTGCTGAAGGGAGGGAGCAGCACAGACGTCTTGCTGAGGGACGACCCTCCAGCCTGAACTGGCCAGTCCCTGGGAGCCTGAATCAAGGGTGGAAGGGGCCTGCGACAGAGGAATGGGCAAACTCCTCTCCTTCCTGTCTTAGTCAGCACTGTGCAGCTGTACCAGGCACCATTCGGCTAAGAAATCTCACTCACTGGGATGGAGGGTGAAGAAAGTTTGGGGAGGCACATGCAGGGGCTCACCATGTATCCTGGATGGACCCTTCCATGAATCTAGTATGAAGATTAATGTGTAAAACAAAGCTACCACTGAAGGCAGCCATGGAGAGACAGATGAATAACAGAAAAAAGGTCTCAGGGACCCTGAGTCAGGAATACGCAAGGCCCATAAATCTGAACCGCCAAGGGCTGCCTGGGTGGGTGTGGAGCAGCGGGCCACAAGAGACCGGTGGGACCTGTCTAGGCAGGTGAGGGCGGCAGATGGGGACGCCTTCAGATGCTGTGTCTGGGCCCCTGTGGTCACCACTAGTAAGGAACAGCTGGGAAACTCATTCCCCACAGCGTTTACTTTTATTGAACAGCAGCATCGGAAGTGCTGATACTACAGAAGGGAGTGAGACGAGAGGTGAACCAGAAGTCAGCCAGGATCCTGCCCACAAAGCTGGGCCACAACAAGATGAGAGGGTCAGAACGTGCCACCAGAGCACCTGTCGGTCAGGCAGCCTTGATCTCGGCAACATGAGTCACACTGGATGTCGCACATGGGATGAAGATCGTGAGATGAAGATGCGCCCCAACCACAGGTCAGACAGAACCTGAAAGGCTACTTGAGGAGCTTGGCCACGTTCAGACTGGGAACTATAATTTCCCTGAAGATGGGCACATAGTTTGGATTCACCTGTGTGTTCCCCTGCTCCAGTGTCTCAATGATGGTCTGCTTCATGTCCCGGCTGGCATCCCCTCGCAAGGCCAGCAGCGCGCCGATGTGGTCATCCCTGGGAAAGTGGGGAAAATGGCAGGGGTGTATGGGGGTATGCACTAAGTGCCCCCGCCTCCCCACCTTCCACGTCCCCCCCGCCCCCCTCCCCCCCCCCAATCCCTGCCTGCAGCTTAGCGGGCACTGAGGATCCCAGAACAAGGTCAATAGCTACAGGTGAAAGGCACGCCTCCCTTGTCAGATCAGAGGGAGAGAAGCCTAAGTTTGCATATTATAATCTAGTCTTTTTTTCAATCTACAATTGCAAAGATTTTTAAAGGTTGCTTTTCTAAATCTTTGTTTAATGAATGAATTAAAGCACGATGACTCTGGAGAGCATAGGACCACTGGATTTTCTGCTCACAGCAAGACCACAACAGCAGCAGGAAAAGAAACCTGGCTGAGTTGACCCGGGTGGGTTCACAAAGGCTGGTGGGAGCCTGCAGCCAGCACTGTCCACATGAAAGCTGGAAGGAGTTCTGGCAAGCATGGCACACTGGCTCCCTTCCCTGAACCCACTACAAGCACAACACAAGCTTCCTAAAACCACTTTGCTCAGCCACACTGAGCCTCCACCCAGCCCTACATGCAGTCTGACCATTGGGAGCTACATGAACCACGGCAGGGCTGGCAAGAGGGCACAGAAGATGCAAGCATGTCCGTTATTGCTCTCAGAATCACACTCTGCCTGCAACTATTGTCTGCATCCTCAAACAAGTCCAGACCTGGCACACTGTCACCCCTCGGGGTCATGCCTAAAGCCCAGGACCCTAGGAATGATCCTGCGGCTCTGCTCCCTGGGTTCTAGCTGAGACAGGAGGCTATTACCTGATGTCTGGGTATTTGCTGACCAGAGTCGAGACTTCCAGGTAGAGCAGGGATGGGTCTGTCAGCTTAATCACTTCTGCAACAGCGATGATCGTATCACAGTACCCGTCTGCATCTTCTCCAAATCCCTAGAAGTCAGTATGGAGGCCATGAGCAGCACGCAGCATCACCACACCTCCAGGCAGGCGCAGGCTGAAGTCTGTCAAACCCTCTCTCTGGCCAAGGATGCCTGACCAGCCCATTCCCTTCTCTCACATAAACACCAAGACTGGTTCCCACAGGGGGCCATTCCCGTGGGAGCACAGACACGGCGTTGGGGGTCTGGGTGGATCATGAAATCAGCTTAGCCCCTCGTAAGGGAGGGGACATGTGAGCACTGTCACACAGCTGAAGTCTGGCTACATACTACCACCAGAAGAACCTAGAACAGTGATGGCGAACCTATGACACGCGTGTCAGAGGTGACACGCAAACTCATTTTTTTTGGTTGATTTTTCTTTATTAAATGGCATTTAAATATATAAAATAAATATCAAAAATATAAATCTTTCCCTAACTGGTTTGACTCAGTGGATACAGCGTCGGCCTGTGGACTAAAAGGTCCCAGGTTCGATTCCAGTCAAGGGCATGTACCTTGGTTGTGGGCACATCCCCAGTAGGAGGTGTGCAGGAGGCAGCTGATCGATGTGTCTCTCTCATCGATGTTTCTAACTCTCTATCCCTCTCCCTTCCTCTCTGTAAAAAAATCAATAAAATATATTTAAAAAGATATATAAATCTTTTTTATACGATGGTTGCAAATATAAAAAATTTCTATATGTGACACAGCACCAGAGTTAACTTAGGCTTTTTCAAAATGCTGACATGATAAGCTCAAAAGGTTCGCCATCACTGACCTAGAAGCTACTACCCTGAGTGCATGTGCCCCAACCACAGGTCAGACAGATCTGCATGCAGATCCTCCGGTTTACAAAAGTCACTTGGTTCCTGGTGTGACTGATCCTGATCAACTACCCTAAAGTCCCAGGGGTGGAAAGGAAAAGAAGTTACAACGACACTTATAGTGACAGTGAAGGGTATGAGGCGGTGGCACTCACAGACGCCAGCTTGCGGAACAGGAAGCGCAGCTGCTCGGCCTCCCGGACCATCCTCTCGGCGCCCTCCTTGCGCTCCTCAGGGCTGCGGAAGGAGATGCGCTTCTGCATAACAGCCCGCAGGTACTCCACCACCACGCGCCGGTGTGCCTCCGCCGTCATCCGCTGAAGAGCAGAGATGTGTCAGCCCCACGAACATGTGGGCTTCGTTTTACATGGAGGTCGACATGTGAACAGAACACATTCCTTCCCATTTCCCACCAGCACAAATGGCAGAACTTCCGAGTAAATATATTAGGTAAATAAGTACATCTGTGACTTTTAATTATAAATTTTACTTTAGAAAATCATAGCAGTATTCACTCTGTTTCCCTAAAGCCTAATGGTGAAAGGGAATTATGCAGGCAGGGCACAGCATTGGCAGGAGCCATGCAGATGGGTGTCCATGGAGCTGCCCTGTTCTGTATCCATCTCAGAGCACTTCACCCTCCGAGCGGAGTGGGGGTCAGTGGGAAACTAGGGAGCTGAGGCCAGGCCCCATCTCCAGCCCTCACAGGCCGACAGGCTCCACAGGACAGATGCATGAAGCACACACGGCCCTCATCCACAGAGCTGTTTAATGACCAGTCTACAGAAATGTTAGTGCTTCAGAGGAGGGAGGAACCCAAGTCCATCCATTTGAGGAAGCTTCAGAGGAGACCATGGTTCTCTCCACAGTGTGTGACACAGTGTAGATCCCAGCTTCCACCAGAGCCCACCCTCAAGCAGCACATGGGCACCAGGCAGTCATCCCGCAAGGATGTAAATCAAACTGCAATGACGTGATGTCCAACATCACAGCCCCAGACCAAACAGAAGCTGTCTACTTGGGGAAGCTGGATGCTCCCTATCCTGTGCCAAAGGGAGGGGCCCCAGGGGCCCCAAATAAGACAAGCAGGACCGCACCAAGCACCCGTACGCGGCCACTGCCGAGACCAGGGTCAAAGGACTGTGTGCCACTCCAACAGCCCAGGCTCTCAGGAGTGCAGACCTTCTCAGTTTAGGCATGAACTCCAATCAGACTAGGAGACGAGACACTAAGACTGGGAGTCCACAGAGACAACAAGCTCCCGGCTCAAGGACTCCAAACATGGGGCCGAGATCAACTGTTAAGTCAATACTCAAAATGTTCAAAGAAATAAAAAGTGGAACAAAAAACTGCAAGTGACAAGAAATTCAATATTGACCAGAGCTGCTTGACCCACCAACATCTAAGTACCAGAGGCTCCTATCAGCTGTGAAAGGACCCATGAGTCAGGTGGACTTAAAACACCTCGGTCTCCCTGCAAGTATCACTTTTAATGGCAGTTTGAAGAATTTCCTTTAAAATTAGGAATTAAACATGGATCCCCCCTGGACTGGGTGTCGAGTGCAACAAGACATGGAGAAGACATAAAAGCTGTAAGGATCAGAAATGAAAACACACAAGGTCACTGTTCAGAGATAAAACACCTGTCTGCATAGAGACATGAAAAGATGTGGAGACAAATCCTAGGAACAATTAGAAAATTTTACGAAGCGTCCAGATATAAGGTCAACATATCAAAAACACTTAATTTTTAGAAACAAAAAGTTAGAAAGCCTGATTTTACAAAGTAACACTTTTAATAGCAAAAACTATACAAGGCCAAGTGCATATGAGAAAGATAACCAAGCCCTTGATGAGGACATAATGGCATGTTATGCTTAAGACCTTAGACAATGAGTAACACAGGAGCTCCCTGTTCTCACGGGGCCTCTGTGGAGTGGAAAAGGGCCGGCAGCCAACGTGCCGTGACGGGGATCTGGACAGGGGACTGCCTTTCTGCCCATCCTCTCATCAGAGCCACAGCCAGTACCCCCACCTCAGGGTCCAGGTTTTAGGCCATGTGTCACTGTGGGTTTAGTGGGGTGTCAGGAGACAGTAGTCAGATGAATGGTCTAAATATTCACTCAGAGGCCCCATCACCGCCACCTCCACCTTATCTTTAGACACTGACGTCTCCTACCTGCCTTAGGTTAATAAAACCACCTGGGAACTTCCATTCACAGAACTAATTTGACACTGGAATCTACACAAAATGCCATTTGGGCTCTAGGATGCAGGTGAATTCACACCACATGAATGGGCCCCCATATTCTTACCTTTTTATACGGCTTTTTAATTTTGGCAAAATCATTGAAATAGTCTTCCACGGTGACACAAATGATGTCTACAGCGTTCGATCCCAACAGCCATTTTCTTGTCATCAGCTCACTGAGATGTTGCTAAAAAGCACAGCCCAAAGAAAATATCACCTTGACACTGTCCCCAAGTCACGTGCACGTCTGCCTGATGTACTGATGTGACAGCACCTGGTAATCACAAGCACTACTGGTGGGTGACCTGCAAGTATGTACTTTAACCACATGGGGCTCAGATGACACACACCTGTGAGATATGCAGGTACCTGTATGTAAACATTTCACCATTGATGACTACATATAAAGGGTTTGGCAAAAGTAGGTTTACATTGTGAGTATATGAAAGTTTATTCTTTATTAATTATTGTTTATTAATTATTGTATTATTGTCCATGCAAACAACTGTAAATCTACTTTTGCCCCACCTTGTATTATATGAATACTCTAGTTACCCAATTCTGATGAACATTTAAAATTTTTCACATTTTGCAACTGAATAATGCTACAGTGAATTCGCACACTTCTGCAGGTGAAACTCCTAAAAGTGAAATTGCACAAAAAGTATAGAAACTAAAACCTTAATTAGCTGTTTCCAAACTGTCCTCCAAAAGCTGCACAATTCATATTCTACAAAGAACACGACTGTCCCTTGGCCCCAGCTGGGTGGCTCAGTTGGCTGGAGTGTTGTCCCATATACCATAAAGGTTGTGGGTTCAATTCCTGGTTTGGGTGTGTACGGAAGCATGGGTCATTGTTTCTCTCACATCAGTGTTTCTCTCTCTCTCTCTCTCCCCCTTCCTCTCTAAAATCAATAAACATCTTTGGGTGAGGATTAAAAAAAAAAAGACTGTCCCTTTGCTCATGCCCTCAACAACACTGAGTGGTATCAATGTTTGCAATCCTTGTCATTTTGATAAGAAACAAACAAGACTTTCAAAATTTGCATTTCTTTGAAGATCAGTAAGATTGAACGTTTTGTTTCATATTTAGGATATTTGTGACCCTTTTACTGTGAAATGGTTACTCATGTCTTTTATCTTCTTTTGGATTATACTGTCTTTTTTTATATTTTGAAATAATTTCAAATTCATACATTTCATTTGTTTTCTAAATAATTTTCGAGAAAGTGACAGACATCATGAAATTATCCCACCAATCATCCTAGGAGCTCCTTTCCAGGGAACCTGAAATAATCATGGCTTTGTATTTTAAATATATTCTGGTTTCTGCCAATACATCTGTATAATGCTGAACCATCTTTGCATTTCTGAAATAAACCTTACTTGCTATTTATGCCTTTGATATGAAGTTAAATGCATTTTGTTAATGACTTTCTTTTATATCTTTATTCAAAACTGAGACTGGTCTATGTGACATGCGTATGCATCATGCACGTGTTCTCAGTTTGGTTTGGCATTAAGAATGCTAACGAATGTAACAGTTTCCCTGTGACATACTTGATTTTAGTTTGTAATCTACTGATATTTATAGGGAGTGTTTACTCAGTTGCGTAGCAGGACCAAAACTCGGGCCTACACCACATAGAAAAGCCACGGCGCTTTAACAGTGACTGAGGATGAAGGCAGGTGTACACTCAGCTCGAATGCACAGCCTGAGTGCCCTACCTCCAGGTCCAGGAAGACCTCCTCCAGTAGGCTGCTGCAGCCCTCCTTGGCGATGGCATCCAGAATCCCATCCATGCTTGGCTGGCTCAGAGACACACCTTCTTCCACTTCATTTTTTAAATACTTTCTCTTTAAGCTGACTATGGATTCTCTGCAAGGGAACAGCTGAGGCTCAGTGAGGTGGCTGAGTGTCCTCACACGCCTGTCTTCATCCCCAACGACACTTACTTGAAGGTCTGGCAGTTGTTGATGATGGCGATCATGTACTGGACGTAGCAGTGCGGGTGCTGCCGGTTTCTCAGGTGCTCCTCTTTATACAACTGAGCTTCGTCTTTGTATCTGAGGAACACAACCCACATCAAATGGCATCAGAGAATAGCTGGCAGGCATTTCAAACGCCACACTGACATCATACCTAAACAGATATTCCACATCACTAACACTTGACCAGATGAGTCTTTAAAAAAATTTGGGGGGGCACTCTATACCAGTGATGGCAAACCTATGACACGCGTGTCAGAGGTGACATGCGAACTCATTTTTTCGGTTGATTTTTCTTTGTTAAATGGCATTTAAATATATAAAATAAATATCAAAAATATAAATCTTTGTTTTACTATGGTTGCAAAGATCAAAAAATTTCTATATGTGACACAGCACCAGAGTTAAGTTAGGGTTTTTCAAAATGCTGACACGCCGAGCTCAAAAGGTTCGCCATCACTGCTCTATACTAACAGAAGAACAGAAAAGTTGGTCATTTAAAATAAATTATTACAATTTAATTTCCTATCAACCCTTTGAAATAGGGGTTAGTGTTGTGATTATACAAATATTATGAAATATCTGATGGTGAGTAATTGGGAAAGTATTATCTTATTTAAATGACATAACTCCCCTAGCCTAGAAACTTATACAACGGGAACACTGTCATGTGTTAAGTATAAATTAGACTCTTTAGATATCACAAAAGCAAACAACTGAGATGGCTAGATGCTTTATTTTTTAATTTATTATGAAGATTCTCTAACATGTACAGGAGTAGAACAGATCTTAAGAAAGGACAAAAATGAACATTGGCAATTAAAGGGAAATTATTCAGTATTTATTCTACTTTTTTGTCCAAAGTGTGGTTCAGGTAATCAAACCGCTGGGGCAGATGAGAAAAACTTCCTCTTTACAGAAGAATCCCATCTCATTCCTCTAACAAAATGACTAACTCAGGCTATGTTCCCCAGATGGCTGGCCGATAGGGACTCTGAGGGGACTGGCTGCTGGCAATGAGCCACCAGAACAGGATAGAGAAACATGCATCTCCTGATGTGCTGCCATGCGGAGCATACACACCACCTATGCCGAGTTCTTGCAGAACAGTGAGTAAAGAGGGGAATCCTACAAGTCTTTAGAGACAACCTGTAGTTTGTGGGCAGACGGCAATCTGAGACCCAGGTTGGAGGATGCTGGATGCTCTACAGCAGCGGTCGCCAACCTTTCGGACCTCACAGACCACCAGGGGTCCACAGACCACTGGTTGGTGACCATTGCTCTACAGGACTATGTGCACATCTCCATAAGCCAATGGCTTAAAGAGGGGAAGGGACTGTTCTCCTGTACCGGAGAGCTGAGAACCCCAAAAAACACACATGATATAGAATAACTAACTATAAAGAGGTAATATGTCTGCAACCACTGGGAAAATCCAAATACAAAAGTGGTATCACATGGTCCCATGGAGTAATTGTGCAAGTTTTATATGGGTTGACAGCACTTTAGTTAGGGTAGAGAATGCAGGGGAAATGATACAATGGGATTTTCTTTAAAGTTATTTCAGCAGAGAAAGAAAGAGGGAAAGGGGAGGAGGTAGAGAGACCAGATGAGGCAAGGGCTTTAAAGGGATAGCTTTTGAACCTGGATGATGGGTAAACAGTTATTTATGTCATTCTTTTACTTGTGCACAGGTTTGAAAAATCTTCATGAACAACTTAAAGGGAGGGAGGTGTCCTGGAGACTGTCCCTCTGAGCCCCCTGTCCAGGGCTGGCTCTATAGGGGGGCCTCCCAGGGGTGGCAATTCAGAGTAACCACCGCACCTGGAGCTGTCCTCCCCACCCCAGAAAGTCAGACTAGGGGAAGGATACTTGTCTCAGAAGAAGCTCTAACTCCAATCCTGCGGTATATTGACTACATTGCTGGGGGCGTCAAAGATCAGATCTGGCTCTCAGGGGACTGGTGAAATACCTTCAATGGAGGGAGCAAGAAAAAGCTGCCTTTTTAAATAACAAAAGAAGGTGACTACAGTCAACCCAGGCTTAAGTTCTTTTTTAATATCAGGCATATCAGGATTAACACATTTTTACTTTTAATTTTTAAAAACATAAACTTTCTAAATTAGTACACTGGCAAAAATACATACCTACTTAAGAAAGAATTCATTTGCTGAAGACACAAAACTAGTACCTTTGTTTTCAAATCTTCACTTATCTGGGCAGCAACTTGAAGATTCTGTTCAAACATCTAAAAATTGGAGAACTTATAAATTTTGACATAAACTCACAACAGCAGTTTTCCTGTTATATAAAACCCCCATCTGCTAACGGGTAGTTAAGACAATCCAAATTCAGAGGAAAAAAAATGAAAACATGTGAAAAATAAAGTTAAACAAAACAACTTTCTCACCGGATAAAAAAAACAAGCGAACCATTTCCTGATCACCTGCAAACAGGCAGGTCTCCCTGAAGTGGGAAGTTAACAGGGAGATGGAGGGCCCAGAGACACGGTGATATGGGTGCCAGGGGCTGCACTGTGATTAGCGATGTGTATTTCTTAAGACGAATTAGGACATGCATTGGATCTGAGGGGAACCGGACTTGGAAAAACAGAAGGGCCAGCAGGCAAAGTTCAAGCCAGGTCCTTGTCGTAAATGGGCTATCATGTCACACTTTCCAAATCAAAGAAAAGGTGAGGACCAACCCATGGCTAAGTAATGGTATCACCTGGAGAAAAACACCACCAACACTCACTTCTGCTGGCTGGAGTCCGCAGACAGAGTGCCATTCGAATACTCCAACAGGACTCAGCCCTCCTACTGTCAGCAACTCACTCAAAGGGGAAAAATTCCATGGGCCAAAGAAAAAGAGGGCACTGGGGGATACCAGCAGGCGACAGGACATTAAAAGTAAATTCACTGTAGGAATGCATGATTATCATTAAAATCTAAAGGACTCTTCCTCAAATCCATCACGTTGGACTCAATTTTGTGACATTTATGAAGATATATCTTGGCCATTTACAATATCAGAAACTCCAAACAAGCAAACTCAAATCTGTGTGTTACACATAACACGGAATTCACTTCTAGTTCAGGTAAAAAAGGGTTAGGAAAACTAAAATGACCCTGGGAAGAACTACTTGGCAGATACAACCCTCCATTTCTTCAGCTCCAGAAAGAGAAGGACCTAAGGAACTAGGGAGCTTCTTTCTATCTTCACTATGAAATGATGCACCTTGTGTTTGTTTGTGAAACCCACAGACCCTATTAACCAGAAATGAACCTCAGAATCTGCAGATGGTACCTGGAAGACGATGGCCGGGAGTGTTGTCTGGTAGTACCCATCTTGGTCGGCTTCAGGCTCAGTCTCTTTTATCCAGTCTTTCTTGTCTGTTTCTAGAGCTTTCCGCAACCAAGCAATGATGTTTGACTAAGGAAGTTTAGCATCAAGGAAGAAAAGAACAGGCCCTATGAGCCGAGGATTAAGTGGGGCAGCTGCAGAAACCAAACACAGCACCCTGGGAATTCCTGTTCCCAAACAAGGGAATGACAGAAAAGCCATCCCAAGAGCCAGCTCCACAGTGGTGGTGCCCTCACCACCTCCACCAACTTATCCTTTTGGAGGACAAGCTGGGTTTGTCGGACATACATGGACGATGGAGGCAGATCTGTCTGTGGAAGACCAGACACCAGCACTGTTACCTCCTGCGCACAGAGCCCTCCACATATCAGAATACTTTCTGGGGGGGAGGTGCACCATCACCATCCCAAGAGCAGACCCTGGGGTGACCAGGCAATATTTGGTGCCCTAACTGCCACCTTCTCACTCCCAGGATCAATGGTAAGAGGCTGGCTGGTGCCACCATACATCAGCAGAACGTCCTGGGGTCTTGCGAGCCTACCAGGCCCAGCCCTCCAAACAGAGACAGCTCCCATACCTTGGAATGTACACCCCAATCTTCAGATCCCGGGCCAGAGAGTGGGCCACTCTCCTCCTCTAACTGGCAAATGTACGTTTCAAGACCTGATTTCCCAGAAACAGAGCCTGCGTATCCTTAGGAAGCCAACGTCAAGGCAGGGTCTCACTCCCCGCTCTGGCTCACTGGAATCAGTTCCACGATACTTGGAGACCCAATGCCATGTCTGGGCACTAGGCACAGACCGTCTGGGACAACGCAGTGCTCTACTCACAGTGAGAGTTGACATGTATGTGTCCAGGAGCTCAGAGACCACATTTGGAGAAAGCAAAGGCTCCAGGGTGCTGACATCCACTTCTGGGGCCAGCTCCACATTTCCCATCATCTCTGTGCTACAGAAAAGCCCAGGAATGAGAAAGATTAAGAACCAGAAAAATAGAAAGTCTCAGGTAAGTGTTGCTATTTCTTTTCACACACAAATACCCAACCACCCTTAAGGAAGTCAAGAGGGGAGGAAGGAAGAGCACTGGTCAAGGAGCCCCTGTGCCCACGCCACAGGGTACTGGAGGGCCACTTAGCAAAGAAGCCCCGTGAGGGCAAGATCTACTTGTTCCGTCCACGGCGCCTCCCATGGAAGACCAGGACAAATAGGGGGCGCGGAAAAGACATGTCTATGAAACAGGAGAATAATCTCTAATGCAGAGAACACATGACATCCACAGTGAAACTCAAGTCAGCAAGAACAACGTCACCGAATCCAGTCTACCATGTTTAAGAAAGCAGGGATGTAGACTAAGTTTCAGAAAAAAGTTTTCCTATAAAAGTTAATACCTGTGTATGTGGTTGGGTTCTTAAAAGTCTGAGGTTCAACTGCTCAGAAAATTCATGTGCCTTATGCTGCATTTACTAAATGTGTATTTAAACGACACTAGTCCACTCTTTATCAGAAATCCAAGTCAATCTTATAATCTTTATAAGATTATGCCAATGTCAAAAGACTGTCTACTTAACCCACATGACTTTCATCCCAAGAACCTTAATTCAGCATGAAGATGTTTGCAGTATGAAAGCAGTTCAACTCTTCCCATGATAAAGTCCACTATGACAGAATGGGATGACAATAGGAAGCTGCCCAAGAGTTCCCAAGAACAGAAAAGTGCTTACAATGTAGTGAGTGAAAAACAAAACCAACACACAAAACTGGGCATGTCACACAAACACACACTCCACAGTCAGGTGGCTGGAGCTCAGGTGAGGGCCCAGATCTGGATTTGAATCCTGCTCCCCACTTGACTTGGGGCCACCTGAACTAGGCACATGACTCCCTGTGCTCATGTACAAAAGGAAGAAAATCATCACATGCCTTCCTCACGGTTAACACATGTAGGCCAAGGCTGCATGGAGATGACTGACAGATGGGGCAATCATGGCAGCTGTGGACTCCCGGGCTGTGTGAGGGCAGCACCCAGAAGGCAACAAAAGCTGCAGCCACAAGGATCATCATTAAAAAGGTATTTCCTCTCTTTATATTTTTCTGCATTGAAATGTACACATTTTCTACTGTAAGATGTTACACAAACAAAAAACATTCCAAAACCTTACTGCTAAAAAAACCAAGAGATTTAATTTCTACACAATAGCAATAAGACTAAAACAAAAAACAATTCCAATACAGTACTTAATACCCTGTTTTCTATTCACAAAACCATGCAAGATTAAAAATGTGTTTTCCTCTCAGCTAATCTTGAAGAAATTCAGAATACCCCACCATTGCCTCGTTTTCTAAACCCTACCTTAAGCTAATACATGAATGAAATGGCTCATGTCACTTTTGTGAAATGACAAAGCCCCAAGGCTGAAATGGAAAAGGATAACTGATTTTCCCAACATAATAGTGAGAAGAAGAAACCAAACCTGGAGAAAGAGTGAGTTGGTGTCTCCTCACCAACCACGTGACTGTGAAGGACCCAAATGTCTTCTCACCTGCCAACTGAGGTGAAACCACCTGCTCAGTGTCATCTCATGGAGAAAGCAGGTTAGTACATAGTGAACACTTAGTACCACAGGAAAGTCCAAGCTGAACTGCTCAATATGGACTGGATGTCAAGGGCAGAGGCACCACCCAAACATAAGATGATTCACACAACTAGCAGCTGGGCCCGACCTCAAGGACAAGGCCCATAGATGGACTAGAAAGGCTTTCATCAACCAGAAACTAATACCTGTGGGTGCCAAGCACCTGAGAGGAGCAAAACAACAGTAGCTGTTTAGAGCCAGTCAGTATGTTTTTATACAATTTCTATGTAAAAGAAAACACAAAATGTAAAGTTAGTGTTACCTCGTGTAGGTGTTTAAAACCCAAGTCAGCAGGCTCACAATCTCATTTGCTTCTAGGTCTTCTGATGCAAGCTCCTGCATCCGTATTGTCAGGGCCTGGTGGTACATGCTCAAGAGATTCCTGAAAATCTCATAATGGGGAGGAAAACACTGAACCATCAGGTTTTTTGCAACGATGAGGTCATCTAGGACGTACTTCCTTATGATTTCTAGGTGGCGAACAAGCCACATCTTGTCAGACTCCCTGGTGTCAGCCTGTGTGCCCTCGATTCTGGTAATTACAGTTTTGTCCAAGATTTTAAACATATTCTCCTTCCAATTCTTGGGCCTCCCTGGAGGAACAAAGCTAGTTTGCTTTTTTCGGTCAAGTATGCGCCTGTCAATCTTTTCTTCCCTTTCAATGATCCTGACAACGGACACCAGCAAGGTGGGGTCACGGCGGACGGTGACCAGCGACCTCTGTAGCACCATCCACAGTTGCTTCGCCAGTTCATCAGAGAGCCCCTGTGTGCTCCCAAAATAGCTGTTGATGAGGGACATGTCACGAGTGTTCCCACTGTCCATACGGTACTGCTCGTACATCAGCCCGTCTCGGGAGCACTCCAGGTCCATCAGCTTCCGGTGGGCCTGCAGGAGCGCCCCTTGCTCTATGAGGTCCTGGGTTTCCCTCACAATCTCTGGCACTAGAGAAAAAGGCACAAGATGAATATGCATGGAGCAATGAGACCAGGTATTCAACAGTGCTGCCATCAGACACAGGCATGAGAACAGGACACATATCCAAGGTACAGTGTGGCAGGAACAAGGCCTCCTGTGCTTTGGATTCACAGCAGTGGGCAAGTGAAAAGAACTGTTCTAGGTTACACTCAGAGGTTAAGCAGTTTGGGGAAAGACAGAAAGAACTTCCAGAGACCAACCATGAGATAAAGGCAGGGAGTGGTCAGACCATCCCAAAGTTTCCTGCTGGAATGCTGATGAATCTGACAGAGACAAAGGGACAAGTGGAGGGGCAGGCTCTGGGGGAAGCACACCAGAGCTCTCAGCACAGACACATGAGGAAGCTGTGCTGAACACAAAGGGACCCCACTCGGGTGACAGCTGACACTCTTCCTACCACTATGGAGGCGTTGGGAAGATTACTCTGAAAGGGCCATTCCCACACCTTCCTGCCCCCACACCAGCCCCCACCAGCCCCACAGCCTCCACCAAGTCTGATTCCAACTGAGACTCCAGAGCATGCCCTTCCCAAGCCCTCAAGGCCCCTAGCCTGTATATCCTCTTCCTGCTCCTGGGAACTGCTGCTCTCCTTAATCACCTCTCCCTCTGGGGACTACTCCCTCTGTCCTGTTCGCAGGGCTGCTTCTCTCGCAGACCACAAGCTCCTTTCAAGGGGTGGTTCATCTTTATTCTTCTGCACCCAGAAAATCCCAGCTGGTCTACTGATCTAACCATTTGAAGGAACGCAGCTCACACATAACTAGTTCAGTTACCCACTTCTGTGCCTCTGTCCTGACAAGCACAGAACTACTAGCTCTTACTTGCTCAGTTGATCATTTCTATGCATGTTCACTACAATAAGCTAACTGTGCAAGCAAGGAATCACACCTACTGCCAACTCTGAGACAGGTCTACAAAACACACTGCACAGAGGCTGGACTGCCTCTGCATTACCCACAGAGCAAGGAAAACCAAGCAAGAGCCATGCGCATGAGCACTGGTAGTGCTCTGCCCTCCGATGCCCGTGGTGCCCACTGGCCCCGCCGCCAGCCTAGCTACCTGAGAAAATGTTCTTGAGGTTCTCCACAGCAGCAGCGAGCTGGCTGTGCCGCACCACAGCATCCTTCACGTCCTTGAGGCTCTCGATGGTGTTGATGCCCTGCCTCCAGTCCTTGCTGACATCGGCCAGGGACCGCTGGATGTCCTTCACGTCGTTCAGTGCATTGTGGAGCTGGCTCAGGCCTGTGCGCACCCCATCTAACTGAGACTGGATAGCTGCCTGGGGAGACAGTGAGCAGTGAGCAGTGCTGGGCAGCCACAACAGATCTTCCCAGGAGGTTCAAGTGCAGAAATGCCATCTCAGTAACACGGAACAGTCAACATCCAGAGAAAAGAGAATAAAACTCGAGTACCTAATTGATTCCCAAGGTAACTTTTTTTTTTCCTTATTGCTGCCTTAGAACAAAACAACGCCTTTTAAAGCTTCTTGAGAAAACCTCACAACACTCCTACTCCAGCCGCTCTGCCTGAAGAGAATGGACACCACTGTGGGTGCGCCTTAGCTCTTACGGCCACCCCTTAAATGGTATCTTTAGAACGGGGGTGAGGAACATCCAACCCACCAGCCGTATGAAAAATCATTTGGTCTGGCCCTGCCAAGGAATTAGAGGTGAATTATTAAATGTTTGACCAAATATAGCAAAAAATTTATAAACCAATTTTTAAGTTGATTAATTTTGTATGGCCTGTGAATGATGTTATAAATATCCAAATGGCCCTTAGCAGAAAAAAGGTTCCCCACCCCTGCTTTGGACCCCTTCCATGACCTCTCAGGTGCCTGTTTCCTAACAGGCCTTATCTAGGTACAGAAAACTGTCAGGATTTGCTTATCAGCTTTAGGAATGAGGGGTCTCCTACCATTGAGCCCAAACCAGTCTCTGCTCCAGGACAGCCAGCCCCACTACACAGAACTGGTACACGTAAGATTTGGACTCACTCTTCAGGCCCACAGGAATGCCACCTAGTGAACTGTACAGTCAGAAGGAAGAGGGCAGCAGGTGGACAGCGAGGGAAGGGAAAAAGCAGGCAGCACAGAAGAGGCCAGGAACACCTTTAACCCAGGAGTCTTAAGTGGCATTTAGAAATAATTAACAATGATTGTAAAAGACCAGACAAGGTTTCTAAGTCACTACTGGTAATTCTTAGTTAATCCCACAAGCTTCCAGAACAGATTAAAATTCTGACTAAAAATGCAGCAGGTCCACATTCATTTTAAAATTAATATGAAACTGCTGTTTCAAATCCATCCATGGGTTTTGGGATGCCCCCTGGGTACAAATGAATGGCCTCATCCTGTCTCATCAAGGCTGCCATTACCTTACCTGGATGCTAGTATTTTCTAATGGAGAGCTGACATTGCCAAATCAGTGTGAGAATTAACTTTCATCAAAGACAAATCCTCAAGACTGTTCTACTGCCTGTCAACCATGGCAGCCCAGGATCTTAACATTTTTATAACTATACTGAGTGTGTATATGAATTAAGTTGAAAGCCAATCCAAATCATAAAATACCTTGAAAATAATGATTTTCATTCTTGCCCCACTCCCACACACTCTTAATGTGTCTAACTCTCCTCCTCCCTTCTACTCCAGGGCCAGCAGATACCTGGCACACGGTCAGCCTGCTATACATCATGTGCTTAAATTATCTAAATAAAATATTCTCAGGAAGCACTCTGTACAAGAGCTTTTTAGAAAAAAGAATTTAACTGTTAAAGTTTGTTACCCTGGTGTTTTCAATATTCCCAAAACCTTTTCTTAAAATATATTTTTATTGATTTCAGAACAGAAGGGAGAGAGGGAGAAAGAGAGAGAGGAAGGGAGGGAGGGAGGGAAGGAGGGAGAGAGAGAGAGAGAGAAAGAGAAACATCAATGATGAGAAAGAATCACTGATAGACTGCCACCCAGTCTGGGGATTGAACCCATAATCCGGGCATGCGTCCCAACAAGAATCAAACTGTGACCTCTTGGTTCATAGGTCAATGCTCAACCACTGAGCCACACCAGCTGGACTCTGGTTTCTTTTCAGATTGCATAGCTATTCCCACAATCTTGTTTATAAATCTACTGATTGGTAATATACTGTTGGAAGGAACGTGCTAAGTAAAGGTGATGTTCCACTCTGTCTCTTTCCAGATCATCACTAAGTCTAATTTAGGAAAATTACAATAATAAAGCTAAGCAAGAACCTAAAACTCAAATAGCACTGTCCTGCCTGGGGGTGCAGCAGGTGCCTGTGGCCTCTCTGGCCTCGTACCTTCAATCTGGCCTCCACGGAGGCCTTTTTCCGGGCCTCTCTTCTGCGATACTGCTCCACTTTGTCCAGCTGGTCCGGGCGCTGAAGCATCCCAGCAACCCTTTGGACCGCTGTTGCCACAGCCTCCCGGTCTGTCTCCTTCATGGCTAAAAAGCAGGTGGGATCTCCGAACCTGACATACTCGAGTTACGTACCCTGTGTGCAAGGGGGAGAGGGAACAGGAGGGGAAGCTTGTTAGACAGGTAGAAATGTTAGGTACAACCCTCCTCCCCCAACAGGCAGTTGTTCACAGTGGAGCTGTAAGAAGAGCACTTGATTAATCCGGTAAGCCTGGAGGAACACTGAACTAGGATTATCAACTCCTTAATAAGAAATACAGACCTTCACGACTCCAAGATGGAGGAAGTTCTACCTTGAAGGGGAGCAGAGGCATTCACGGGTATGAGATATGGACACTATTCCTATGTGGACCCCAGACCACTCAGCATATTAGACGTCAGTCTCCAAGGCGTTTCTCTTGCCCAGACAGGACCCGTTCTTATTTCCAGAGCGTTCACACCGCCCCTTGGCCGTGCCAGTGGGGCAGCCGCGCCAGAATGTCTTAGCACAGGGACAGCACACCTCACCACCCCAGTCCAAGTCCCAGCACACAGCCTACCATTCCACTGTACAGCACAAATGCTCTGAAACTAAGCAAACCTGCCTTCCACCCAGCTCTACCCACATCCTGGTCCTGGAGCCAAAAGAGAGATTTGGTGAGAGTGGCAAACGAGAGGATGAAACAAGAATCCATTCCCCTTAACTTCCGTCACCGAACTTCCATCTCCATGCGTGTTTTCTGTCCACAACGTCTCAAAAATATGAGTAAGTCCCACCCTCTCCCTAAAATTTCCATTCCCCGTTTCCACACACTTTCACAAAAACACTGAAGAGGATAGCCTAAGGCAGTGGTTCTCAACCTTCTGGCCCTTTAAATACAGTTCCTCATGTTGTGCCCCAACCATAAAATTATTTTCGTTGCTATTTCATAACTGTAATGTTGCTACTGTTATGAATCGTAATGTAAATATCTGATATGCAGGATGGTCTTAGGCGACCTCTGTGAAAAGGTCGTTCAACCGCCAAAGAGGTCGCGACCCACAGGTTGAGAACCGCTGGTAAGGGCTGTGTTAAATAACTCCTCCGTTTGTACACGATATGCTTTCTCATTTCTTCTTCAAATGGAACTACATTGCAACCACTGCCCTTCCTTTTTATTTTTCGTATTATGAAGTTATGGGCACCAATGCAGAAAACCTGAACGGGCAACCCGCTGTCCGTAGGCAGGCCCTTCTATCGGGCTCTCCGTCTTCCCTTTGCATCCCGAAGTTGCATCCACCTGCGTACACAACCCTGCGTTTGCTTTGGTTTCTTGTTTCGCTTTGACATGTTTGCGGCATTTCTAGCGACATGAACACCTGCACGATTTTCACTAAGGGGCGGCGGTCCGACAAGGAGGGGCCTCCAGCGGCCGCAGGTGCGCAAAGCGTCCGTCCGCGCCTCGGGGCTGGGCCCCCGCAGCTCCCACCGCCGTTCCTGGGGACAGCCGGGCGCCCTGGGGACCCGACCGTCACCTACTCGGGCGGAAACCCCCCCGCGAGGGGCGACACCGCGGCCTCGCACGAGGAGGCGACGATAAACCGCGGCCCGAGCCTACTTGGGCAACGGGGCGACGGCGGCAGCTGCTCGGGCTGCACGGTCCGCCTCCGGGTCGCGCCCCGCCCGCCCGAGCCCGGGGAGGGACAGCGGCGGAGACAGGTGACCCCCGCCCGGGACGGCGACCACCGCTCAGGAGTCCGCGTCAATGTCCGCCCCCGCCCGCAACCCCCTCACCGTCTGTGCAGCCGCTGCCCGCCGCCCGACCGGAACTGAACGACTCGCGGCCACTTCCGCTTCCGGTCCTTTGACCGGAAGAACGGGACTGGTGGCGTCCTTGCCCACGGGGAGCGCCCACCGCATTAGCAGCCGGGACCCACGCGGCCGCTCCCTTGGACCGTCTCCTGTCCGTGCCCCGGCCGCCCCTTCCCCCGACCGCGTGCTCAGGACACCTCTTCACCCGCGCTGTGGCCCGCATGTCCTCGGAAGCCCGCGCTGACTTCCGGGTGCGGGACCGCCAGGCCCCACCCCGTTGGGGTCTCCCTGTTCATTTGCAGCACCTGTCCGCCCGGCACAGGGCCAGGTGGCGGATGTTCAGTAAATAAGCGTCACGTGTGATACCCCGCGCTGTCTCTCGGCCGCTTCTTCGTGAGCTGTGGTCGTTGCGCCCTGAAGCTGACATGAACTAGGTGTTAGGTTTGATGGAGCAATTGAATGGTTACCCCTCCCCCAGGAACTGGCTTTTCAGGCCATTTCACCATGGACGTTCCCTTTGCAGAGACCTCATTTCACTTGCAGCGACCACATTCCCTGATCTCCCCTCCGGGTGTGCACAAAGAATGCTCCGCCCAGAAAAAGCCCGCCAAAAGTCCTTCAAAAGCCGCTGGCTCCCCTCACTGGGTGCTGGAGCCATCCAGGCTCAGACACCTGGGGTGCGGATGATCGAATAAATTCGTAATCCCTCACTGTTCTGGTCTCCTGCGTTCCTCCTTCCGGGACCTAACACTAAGCCCGTCAGGGAGCACAAACAGATCAGAAATCCACCTGGGAGCAGCCCACCTGGGACTGGCGATCACGAAATGGAACAACGACGTACATCGTTTCATGATTACGTCGCCATCTCCCATTTATTTATTAAAAAAAAAAAAGGTTCTGTCATTTTGATGTATGTACATATGTGCTTTATGTATTTTTATTATTTATTTACCACAAGTAAAGGTCAGGAATTGTTATCTTTTAAAATTTTTTTACTGTTTCACTTCATTACTGCTGTGTGTGTGCTCCATGTGAGTGCGTAGGTGCTTATGGAGGTGGGTTCTGACTTACAGCGGAAATTGCGTTACATTGCACCATAGGAACTGATCTCCAACATAACCAGAGGACCTACTGTACATAAAAGGCTAATATGCTGTGTCCGACCATCCAACTGGTCACTATGATGCGCACTGACCACCAGGGGGCAGATGCTCAACGCAGGAGCGGAGTGAGCCCGATTCCTCCCGGGGCTGCATGATTCCGCCTTCGGCTGTGGCTTATGTGGTTGCTGGGGCACTGTCGGCCCTGAATCTGGTTTACCGCACACTTGCGTTTGCATTCTTGCAGAGTGCCCTCTCGCACTCCGGGACCCCTCCAGGACCCCTCGGGGGATGTCGGAGAGCCAGTTTTGGCCCAATCCCCGCAGGCCAGGCAGAGGGACCCCACCTACCCGAGGGACCCCCCACTCACTCCGCAGATGCCAGGAGGGACCACAGGAGGTTGGTTTCAGGGTGTGTCTGGCTCATCTCGCCCAGTCCCACCCCGCTAGCCACCTTCTAATTAATTTCCTTCCAATGTGCACGAATCCATGCACCGGGTTGCTAGTGTACTAATAATGTTTCAGGGCTTGTCTGTTGTGATGAGAAGCACTATTTGCCTTAACTTGAACTGAAGAGGAAACCTTTCACTGTTACCAACTACTAGACTACCCCTGAGCACCTTCTGAAGTCAGCCAAGATGGTACAAATAGGGCAGAGTCCTGAACAGGTGGGGATTGGATCTGGATGGGAGGAAGGGTGAGGGCAGCAGCACAGGATATGGGTGCCTGCACACACACACATGGGAACACACACATGCACACACATGTGAGCCTACAGACACACAGGCACACACCTAGGTGCACAGCAGGGGCGGGGGGGCAGGAAGATGGAGATGTGTGAGCCCCCACCATTGCAGGGCAGCACAGGTCACAGCTGAGAAGGGGCAGTATCTCATTATTCTGATGGCTGGTCCCTTTATTATTTCATTTGTACCTAGTAATTGTGAAAATATAGCACTAAGTTGAGCAGTGAAAAATGTAAACAAAAAATTAAAATTACATTTTAAGTTAATAATTGTAAAGGCATTTTGAAACTAATGAAGCAAAATGTGCCAAAATGGTCAAAGCTTTTAAAAAGTAGCAACATTGAACAATAATGGGAAATGGAGGCTCATGCTATCAGTGTCTGTGTTTGGATATAGGATCCCTAATTTCTTCAGTTCACCAGGCTGGTTAAAAATGTGATGCTTTATCTGGCCTCCAGAACTCTGAAAGAATAGATCCCTGTCATTTAAAGAAAAAAAAAAAAAAAAGGCGGGGGGTACTTTGTTAAATGACTTTTTTTTTTCATCCTTAAAAACTAAAAGAACAAAACATTGATTAAAAATCTTTTTCTGACTTCTGTTGTTTGGAAAATCAAGTAACTGAAATGCCTTCTGTAAAGCGTTGAATAAAAACAGCAATCAACCTTTGCCTGGTTGGTTTTACTCAGTGGTTAGAGCATCGGCCTGTGGACCAAAAACTTCGGGTTTGATTCCTGATCAAGGGCATGTACCTGGGTTGCACGCCCAACCTGGCTGGGGCTGGGGTTGGGGCATGTGCATGAGGCAATTGATCAATGTCCCTCTCACAGCGATGTTTCTCTCTCTCCCCCACTCCCTCCCTTCCACTCTCTAAAAATCAATGTGGGGGGGGGGGTATCCTCAGGTGAGGATTAACCAAAATAAATAAGTATTTTTTAAAATATATTTTATTGATTATTTACAGAGAGAAAGGGAGAGGGATAGTTAGAAACACTGATGAGAGAGAAACATCAATTCAGCTGTCTCCTGCACACTCCCTACTGGGGATGTGCCCACAACCAAGGTACATGCCCTTGACTGGAATCGAACCCGGTACCCTTCAGTCCGCAGGCCGACGCTCTATCCACTGAGCCAAACCAGTCAGGGCAGTAAGTTTTATATGTACCTTTTAAATGCACAGACTTCACAACCAAGCATAAGAAATAACCAGGGTGGCAAAGCAGAGGGAGGAGAAAGTGAGGTGAGCAAAAACGTCCCCTGGAGCAGGGGTGGGGTGGTCCTGATGCCAGGGTGGGGCTTTCACGCCCACACAGGGCAGCAGGTGGACTCTGAGACGCCTCCATGAGGCCAGAATGCTCAAAGGGTGCATCAATGCAAGAGTGGACCAGGGGAAAGAACAATCCCCAAAAGCAGTTTCTCCAGTTACTTCAGTCCCAAGGAGCGCACTGGAGAGTCTGGGATTCACCCCCTGCCCATCTGTCCCCACAGGAGCGGGGTAGTCATGGGACAGAGTGCAAGTGAGTGGCTTCCATCTCAGGTCTCAACACAGGTGAGTGTGCAGAACATGAGCAAGACAGGGATGGGGTACGGGGGGCACAAGGGAGGACAGGCGGTCACTGCAGAGGGTTTGGCCCAGCAAATGGGGGCTGGCTTGCCTGCTCTCCCCTGGGAAGGATTGTCTTAGAATGTACATTCGCCAACACACACTTTAAAGGAAATAAAATGACTTCATTTGAAAAATCAAGTAGATGTTTCCATTTATGCTAAACCCATATTACTGTGATTTATTGAACATCAATATTGCAAATGTAATGAAACCACAGTATCAGAAATACATTTGAAAGCTCTTTCTAAAGGCACCAAGAAAACTACAAAAAGTTACATTATAGTCATCCATTTGTAAAATTCAACAAATCAGTCTAGATATTGAAAACTTTTTTCTTCCAGTAGAAACTGCAAAAATATAAAATATAATTTGTGTTTATCTCCCCTCCCTCCCCCCTTCCATCCCATCTTTACCTTCTATTTGATTGTAACCTGTTTCAGTGACACAGTCAAAGCTTCGGACAACAGAAGAAGATAGCATGTCATTAGCACTGCTAGTGACATCGCAGAGCAGGAATGCCAAGCTTCACCTTCTGCCTCCCATCATCGTCTTCCCCACACAAATTTTCCCACATAAGCATGTAAAATAACAGAAGTGCTGACTCAGGGAAGTTTTGCTGCTGCTGACTCAGCAGAGGAAGGGCCCTG